CATGTCAAACATTACCCTCCGAATTCCATATAGACATAGGTCAAAATGTCCCACCCCCATAACTCTGTCAAATCTCAACCGATTTTCACGAGTTTTGTTTTTTTCTTCATGGTTTGGCCTCTAGATCAACTTTGCATTTAAATCTGGGAACATATTTTTTGGTCGAAATTCATGTCAAATATTACCCTCCGAATTCCATATAGACATGGGTCAAAATTTCTCACCCCCATAACTCGGTCAAAACTCAACCGATTTTCACGAGGTTTGGTTTTTTCTTCATGGTTTGGCCTCTAGATCAACTTTGCATTTAAATCTGGGAACATATTTTTTGGTCGAAATTCATGTAAAAATGAGACCCTCAATAATCCAATGTAGACATAGGTCAAAATTTCCTACCCCCATAACTCGGTCAAAACTCAACCGATTTTCACGAGGTTTGGTTTTTTCTTCATGGTTTGGCCAGTAGATCAACTTTGCATTTAAATCTGGGAACATATTTTTTGGTCGAAATTCATGTAAAAATGAGACCCTCAAATATCCAATGTAGACATAGGTCAAAATTTCCCACCCCCATATCTCGGTCAAAACTCAACCCATTTTCACGAGGTTTAGTTTTTTCTTCATGGTTTGGCCTCTAGATCAACTTTGCATTTAAATCTGGGAACATATTTTTTGGTCGAAATTCATGTCAAATATTACCCTCCGAATTCCATATAGACATGGGTCAAAGTTTCCAACCCTCATAACTCGGTTAATTCTCATCAGATTTTCACGAGGTTTGGTTTTTTCTTCATGGTTTGGCCAGTAGATCAACCTTGCATTTAAATCTGGGAACATCATTTTTGGTCGAAATTCATGTCAAATATTACCCTCCGAATTCCATATAGACATGGGTCAAAATTTCTCACCCCCATAACTCGGTCAAAACTCAACCGATTTTCACGAGGTTTGGTTTTTTCTTCATGGTTTGGCCAGTAGATCAACTTTGCATTTAAATCTGGGAACATATTTTTTGGTCGAAATTCATGTAAAAATGAGACCCTCAAATATCCAATGTAGACATAGGTCAAAATTTCCCACCCCCATATCTCGGTCAAAACTCAACCCATTTTCACGAGGTTTAGTTTTTTCTTCATGGTTTGGCCTCTAGATCAACTTTGCATTTAAATCTGGGAACATATTTTTTGGTCGAAATTCATGTAAAAATGATACCCTTAAAAATCCTATGTAGACATAGGTCAAAATGTCCCACCCTCATTACTCGGTCAAATCTCAACCAATTTTCACGAGGTTTGGTTTTTTCTTCATGGTTTGGCCTCTAGATCAACTTTGCATTTAAATCTGGGAACATATTTTTTGGTCGAAATTCATGTCAAATATTACCCTCCGAATTCCATATAGACATGGGTCAAAATTTCTCACCCCCATAACTCGGTCAAAACTCAACCGATTTTCACGAGGTTTGGTTTTTTCTTCATGGCTTGGCCTCTAGATCAACTTTGCATTTAAATCTGGGAACATATTTTTTGGTCGAAATTCATGTCAAATATTACCCTCCGAATTCCATATAGACATGGGTCAAAATTTCTCACCCCCATAACTCGGTCAAAACTCAACCGATTTTCACGAGGTTTAGTTTTTTCTTCATGGTTTGGCCTCTAGATCAACTTTGCATTTAAATCTGGGAACATCATTTTTGGTCGAAATTCATGTCAAATATTACCCTCCGAATTCCATATAGACATGGGTCAAAATTTCTCACCCCCATAACTCGGTCAAAACTCAACCGATTTTCACGAGGTTTGGTTTTTTCTTCATGGTTTGGCCAGTAGATCAACTTTGCATTTAAATCTGGGAACATATTTTTTGGTCGAAATTCATGTAAAAATGAGACCCTCAAATATCCAATGTAGACATAGGTCAAAATTTCCCACCCCCATATCTCGGTCAAAACTCAACCCATTTTCACGAGGTTTAGTTTTTTCTTCATGGTTTGGCCTCTAGATCAACTTTGCATTTAAATCTGGGAACATATTTTGTGGTCGAAATTCATGTAAAAATGATACCCTTAAAAATCCTATGTAGACATAGGTCAAAATGTCCCACCCTCATTACTCGGTCAAATCTCAACCAATTTTCACGAGGTTTGGTTTTTTCTTCATGGTTTGGCCTCTAGATCAACTTTGCATTTAAATCTGGGAACATATTTTTTGGTCGAAATTCATGTCAAATATTACCCTCCGAATTCCATATAGACATGGGTCAAAATTTCTCACTCCCATAACTCGGTCAAAACTCAACCGATTTTCACGAGGTTTGGTTTTTTCTTCATGGTTTGGCCAGTAGATTAACTTTGCATTTAAATCTGGGAACATATTTTTTGGTCGAAATTCATGTAAAAATGAGACCCTCAAATATCCAATGTAGACATAGGTCAAAATTTCCCACCCCCATATCTCGGTCAAAACTCAACCGATTTTCACGAGGTTTGGTTTTTTCTTCATGGTTTGGCCTCTAGATCAACTTTGCATTTAAATCTGGGAACATATTTTTTGGTCGAAATTCATGTAAAAATGATACCCTTAAAAATCCTATGTAGACATAGGTCAAAATGTCCCACCCTCATTACTCGGTCAAATCTCAACCAATTTTCACGAGGTTTGGTTTTTCTTTATGGTTTGGCCTCTAGATCAACTTTGCATTTAAATCTGGGAACATATTTTTTGGTCGAAATTCATGTAAAAATGATACCCTCAAAAATCCTATGTAGACATAGGTCAAAATGTCCCACCCTCATAACTCGGTCAAATCTCAATCAATTTTCACGAGGTTTGGTTTTTTCTTCATGGTTTGGCCTCTAGATCAACTTTGCATTTAAATCTGGGAACATATTTTTTGGTCGAAACTCATGTCAAATATTACCCTCCGAATTCCATATAGACATGGGTCAAAGTTTCCAACCCGCATAACTCGGTTAATTCTCATCAGATTTTCACGAGGTTTGGTTTTTTCTTCATGGTTTGGCCTCTAGATCAACTTTGCATTTAAATCTGGGAACATATTTTTTGGTCGAAATTCATGTAAAAATTCGACCCTCAAATATCCTATGTAGACATGGGTCAAAATTTCCCACCCCCATAACTCGGTCAAAACTCAACCGATTTTCACGAGGTTTGGTTTTTTCTTCATGGTTTGGCCAGTAGATCAACTTTGCATTTAAATCTGGAAACATATTTTTTGGTCGAAATTCATGTCAAATATTACCTTCCGAATTCCATATAGACATGGGTCAAAATTTCCCACCCCCATAACTCGGTCAAAACTCAACCGATTTTCACGATGTTTGGTTTTTTCTTCATGGTTTGGCCTCTAGATCAACTTTGCATTTAAATCTGGAAACATATTTTTTGGTCGAAATCCATGTCAAATATTACCCTCCGAATTCCATATAGACATGGGTCAAAGTTTCCCACCCTCATAGCTAGGTCAAATCTCAACCAATTTTCACGAGGTTTGGTTTTTTCTTCATGGTTTGGCCTCTAGATCAACTTTGCATTTAAATCTGGGAACATATTTTTTGGTCGAAATCCATGTCAAATATTACCCTCCGAATTCCATATAGACATGGGTCAAAGTTTCCCACCCTCATAACTCGGTTAATTCTCATCAGATTTTCACGAGGTTTGGTTTTTTCTTCATGGTTTGGCCTCTAGATTAGTTTTGCATTTAAATCTGGGAACATGTTTTTTGGTCGAAATTCATGTCAAATATTACCCTCCGAATTCCATATAGACATAGGTCAAAATTTCCCACCCCAATAACTCGGTCAAAACTCAACTGATTTTCACGAGGTTTGGTTTTTTCTTCATGGTTTGGCCTCTAGATTAGTTTTGCATTTAAATCTGGGAACATGTTTTTTGGTCGAAATTCATGTCAAATATTACCCTCCGAATTCCATATAGACATAGGTCAAAATTTCCCACCCCAATAACTCGGTCAAAACTCAACTGATTTTCACGAGGTTTGGTTTGTTCTTCATGGTTTGGCCTCTAGATCAACTTTGCATTTAAATCTGGGAACATATTTTTTGGTCGAAATTCATGTCAAATAGTACCCTCAAAAATCCAATATAGACATAATTCAAAATTTTCCACCCGCATAACTTGGCCAAATCTCATCCGATTTTCACGAAGTTTGGCTTTTTTGTCATGGTTTGGCCTCTAGATCGATTTGGCGTGTAATTTCTGGCAACATTGTTCTTAATCAAAATTCAAGGAGTATTAGGATCATCAAATCCAGTATTCAGTTTCAAAGAATAAAGGGAATCTCTCATCGATCAAATACAGATTTTAGTAAAAGAAATAATAAAATCCTTAATAAAGTGCAGCTTAAACGAAGTCCGCTCCTGTTGAAACCTACGAGCTGAAATTTCTGTGGCTGGGGCAAGCCGAAAGTTGCCTTTAATTGCACGACACTCACATAGAAGAGGACAAGGGCTTTCAGAGCGGAAATGAGACAAACTTGTCAGCGGCTTGCAAGTAAAAGTTTTTGGCCCTCGAATGGATTGTGGGCGGTGCACTCGGTGGAGTAGAGCCATGCGATAAGGACTCAACTGCTTTTCATTGCATACTTGTCGGCGAGCATATCAAAGCGGGTCAAAAACATAATTCTCAGCTGTCGTAAAGTGGCACACGTCGACCACAAGCCACAAGCCACGAACCACCGAAGTGACCAGCGACCAGCAAGGGCTTCACTTCTCTCACAGCGCACGAAAATAATCAAGCGAAATATGTTTGGCCAAAGACAGAGCCAAGACATTGGGTATAATATGTCATTGGGTCTGTCTTTCGTTGGGACTTAAGCAGCTCAAAGAGAAAATCCGTAAAGGGCTCAACTTTGAAGTGGTTGCCGGCCATTGTCCAACTTCGGCTGACACTAAGTAATTAACAGGCACTATTTTGTTGCCATTAGCTGGCGAGTGAAGGGTCATCGATACTTACCCGGGTATGCCGCCGCTCTCCATATGATTGGCCAGTGTGACGTCGTTGGACCAAACATCGAACTGCCACTTGACCAGGCCCAGTACGCCGCAGTGCACCCGTCCCGTATGGATGCCCACACGCATGTTCACATTCACGGCCATTACCTCGCGCACAAGCCTGACAGAAGAGAGTGCCAGAGTGAGAGGGGGAAGGTTAAAGGTAGTAAAAAGAGGCGGCATAACAAAAGCCACACACACACACACACACACACAGAACACAAAGCCACAGAACATTGTGTGCGTTAGTTGTGTTGTGTTCTGTTCTGTTGCTATACTCACGCTATAGCGTCAATCATATCGAGTCCCATCTCAACAGCACAGTGTGCATGATCCGGCCTGGGCTCGGGCAGACCGGAAACGCAATAATAACAATCGCCTAGCAGCTTAATGCGCAGACAATGATGCTCAGCAGCCAATCGATCAAAGCTGCAATAGAGTAACGAGAGCAGGGGTTGGAGTTGGAGTTGGGATTGGGTTGGGTAGTAAAACACATTAAACGATGAACTGTTCAGCTAAACTAAAAACTAAAACCATAAATCAACTAAATACTTGGCTTAAACTTATTGCAATTTGATCGACAAATATTTAATATTTATTAATTAAATTACCAAACTATACGACATTCCGTCTTTCAATTATTCAATTAAAAAGTTGTTAAAGCTAAGCTTATAGCATGAAAAGTTCTAATAAACCTTGCAACTTTTTATTAATAAAAACTCATCAAATATTTGTGTGCAAATTTCTTAAAGTTGGAAATAGTTTTCTGTTCGATTTAAACACCTGCTTAAGCTGCAGCTCAGAGCAATCGCCTGTGCAGCTAATTTAACGGAATTTTTGTTGTTTAATCTATAACACCCCGTTTTTTTGGGCTACTCAATAAGGTAAATGTTCGTTCTTGCACGAAATAAATACCAGGAAACGGGTTTTGTGCGCCCACTCATTGCCAATGGGAATCAATAAAGTGCCTGACAAACACCCGGCCAAAATTCAAGCCGGAGGTCTATTTTTGCTGGCGCTTGGCCCTAAGCTGGCCCTAACCAGCCAGGCGGCACTCGAATGTGCAATTAATTTGTGCCAGAATGTGCCTCTGTTTCAACTGGCATCACCATTTGTTAGACTGTTTGACATGGCCGGAGGCCAGCAAAGAGCAAAAAGCAAAAAACAAGCCGGCTGAACAACAGACACTCACACGGAGGGACAGGGCCCTGTCATTATTGGACCTGGCAATGGACTCACCGTGCAAATAGCTCGTTCAGCAGACGCACTAGCTCCTCCGCCGTGCACTGATCCGACAGGCTGGTGAAACCGCAAATGTCCGCAAAGAGGATGCTGGAAAGCAAAAAAAAAAAATGGTAAGGCAAATAAAAAAAGAGTGGGCCAGGGTTCAAATAAAGTGCAAATATTACAGTTTGCAACTGTTGTTGGAGTCAAGCATAGTTTGTCGTAGTTGAGTGTGGGTGTATGTGTGTGTATCTGTATGTGTGTGTATATGTGTGTGTTTGTCTGTGTGCCTGTATTGCGCCCAAGGAATTCTTTAATGTATTCAACTGGCAGCCAGCGTCGCATTTTTGGGCGAAACTTTCTATTTAAAACGTGCAAGGGTTTTGAGTTTGACTTTTATGGGAAATTTGTTGAAATCCTTGTGCCAGCCAAAACGACGACAGTTCCTTTGAGAGCTGCTTAGGCGGCACAGCGCGTAATTTAATACTTAAAATGCGACCGAGGGGAGGGCTAAAGACAGCGAACAGGTGCGCCCTGAAGTATGCTTTATGTTGAGTGTAACTGCTGTGCGTGTGTAATTGTGTGTGTGCGGGTGTGAGCGTGTGTAATTGTGTGTGTGACAGTTGGTAATGTGCAGTTGTTGCTTGACATCTGTACAGTAAAGTCTTCCTTATGCGAACAGCTATTTGCCGGGTAAAAAATTCCCTGAAACGGACATTTAACGTTCTAACGGAATAATATATATGTTCAAATTATAATCAGAATGGCAAGCTAAAAATGTTTAAAATAATCAAAAAGATTCCTCATTTTGAACTAATTAAATAAATTTTAGAAAATTAAGAATTGAATTGTGAACAATTTGAAATATTGATAAACAATGATTGTTGCCATTTCTTCGACAACTCTTTAAATCAACATCTCCGTAAGCTGCGACGTTCGCCAAATAGAAACTTTACTGTACTACATACAAATTCAATGGTCGGGTTACGCACACCCAGATACGCGCTCCAAGCATATTTATTGACTTTGCATGCAAATAAATTTATACACAGACACAAGCTGAAAGAGACACTCGCTTTGCACACACACACACACAAACGAATACAATCACAAATACACACACGCACACCCACCTGACATTCTCGTGTCGCTGTATGTAAATCTTATGAAACTGTGTGTCACGTGGCTGGCCCGCAATGTCGTCCTTCATCTCCATGGCAACGTGCCGCGGCAGCACCGACAGCAGCAATCGCTCCTGCAACATTAAGGATAACAGCATGTGAGTGCGTCACACACACACACACACATACACAGATACATAGGGTGTGAAGGGGGTGTGTGCGTTTGGCTAAGTAACAGTCAAAAGGCGCCTCCAAATTATGCTCTGCCAAATGCGCGAAGCCCGCCTGCGGGAGTTTGCCTTTTGGCATCAGACCCGGCGGGCGGGCCTTGGGGCAACAAGTGACTGCCACGCCCCAGCGCCTCTAAAGCTGTCGCAGATTCATTTGCCAGCTGGCAGCTGCCACCTGCCGGCTACCTGCCACGCTTTGATGCAGTCATTTTTTAGCCGGATGCTTTGTGATTGGCACAAACTCTTTGGCGGGCTTTGCTGTTGACTGGGTGGCCTTTTGATGTCCTTTTGCCCATTTTGATGTCCTTTGACTCACCTGCTGTTGATTTTCGCGCTGCGTACGCAAACGCGCCTCGATGCACTGCCGCGTCTCAATGAAGGCCTTGCGCTGCGCCTTCTCCTTCGGCCAGTGCGTATAGATGCCCGTCAGATTGGCCAGCATCAGGGCGATGCAGGTGCACAGCAGCTGTGTGAAAGAGGGGGTGGCAGAGAAATTTTAATAGCATTAAGGCATTAGTGTCCATATCAATGTCAGCGAAAGCACAATAAAAGCCCAGTTGCGGGGCAACACTCAAACACACACAGACAGAGGAAGGCGCAATTTTATTCAATTTTGCGGCAATTTAATTTAATTTATTTATACTTTTTCACCTGCACTCTGTACAGGTGTGTGTTTGTGTGTGTGTGTGAAATAAATTGCGTGAGCATTTTATGCGAATTTATTGTCACGTGCCGCACTTTCGAGGCATTAAAGCGCTCGGTGAGAAATTGCTTTAATGTTTTCGGCAAATGTCACACCCATTCACGCATATGCCTGCGGCTTACACAGAACCTGTTGATGGATGTGCTGTCCGTGCGGGTTGATTTGTGGCAACCACAAACAACAATTGCAACAGTTTCAAAATTACCTCTTGCCACTGCAGCGTCAGCTCCTGCTGCAGCTCCAGCTGCTTATCCTGTTGCGTGTACTGTGTGTGCAGGCAGGTGTACAGGTGCGTGCCACTGAGCAGCATGCCACCGATGAGCGATTCACGCAAACGCAGCGGCAACATCGTGTATGTCATGTAGATGAGCACAATGCAACAGGCGCTGCCATTAAACGATTTGCTGCAAAAATGAGCGACACTTAAATTTAATCAAAGACAACGCACCCAATCCCCAAACAGAGTTCCCTTCTCATTATTATACCCTTGCTGAGGAAATTATCAATTTTTGTCACGAAATGACACGTCGGTAGAAAATTAAACACTTGTTAAGTTTTTTTTTTGTTGTCAAGATATCTCGATTAGGTCGGCGGGCTTTCCCATTCTACTGAACAATATTTTATCCGCATCGGGCTACTAAATTATATAACTCCTGTAGTGAAAACAATTGCTCAAAAAACAATTTGTATAGTCATAAAAAAAAACATTTGTTTTCAAGGTTTTCAGTTCTAAGCAGTTCTAAGTTCTAAGTTGGACAGTTTCAGCTTTGGAATACTTCTAAAAAGTGAGGAAAGTTTATAAACATCGGACAACTATATTACATGGCTCGAAAAATAAGTTCCTATATGGAAAAATTAGCTTCTTTTCAAGAGAGTTTCACTCTTCTCCAAACATATCTGCAAAAAACCTTTTCAAATCGGACCACAGTCTCAAATAGCTCGCATAGAAACATTCTGTAGGAAATGAAGCTTTTAAGTACTCTGTCAGTCTCTCTGTTGCCGCCTCAATGCAAGGGCATTTAATCTTCGGCATGCCTGAAGCTTATTTTTTTCTTCCTGTTTGCCCAGTTTATTTGCTGGCTGAGAGCCCGCTGCTTGGCTTTGTTGTCTTCTATTTTTGGCCTAAACGCAATTAGCGTGCCGCAGCTGATGGCATGATTAATTCTTGCTGCCAGGCAACAGCTGTGAGAAGGCTCAGGCTCTCTGCACTCAACTCCCTTACAAACCTGGGCTGCACGGCATAGCTAACAGCTATTTCAATGGCCAGAAACGTGCCCAAAATGACGTACGAGACGAGCACGAGAAATATTTCATTCATAGCTGGCTTGGATAGCATGCACAACAGGACTGCAACAAAAAAAAAATATATGAAATTGAAAATCAGAGAGAGAAATATGAGAAATATGAGAAACCAGCAGCAATTAAAAGCAAATACAGCACAATTGCCAACAATTTGTGGCACAAGCTGTGCACTCACATGCATAGACGATGCCGCAGATTAGCATCACAATGAGAAAAACCAGAACAGACTCATCGATGCGCGTTATCAGCGAGTAGACCACATGCGAGTAATTCAATGAAGTGTCGAAATTATCAGCCAAACCAAACAGTCCAGATTCTGTCTGCGCCTCAGGCACCTCCTCCTTCTGCTCCTGGTCCGTGCCGTTGGCATCGCCATCAAACAGCGTCAGTTTGGGCACTTCATCACGTGCCTGGCGGCTGCCGGAGAAGGACAAACGTCGGCGGATTTCGTTGTTGTTGCGCTCCTCCGTAAAGCGTTTAACGCCATCATCTCCATCATCATCAACAATGGCAACAACATCCACAGAGGCCGCATTCAGTCGGTCAATGTCAGTGAACAGTGGCTGCGCGGCACGTTTGTATCTGAAATGGGGACAGTTGCAGAGGTAGCCCAATGGTAAATCGAAGTCAATACAAAAACAAATAAGAATGCTGTAAACGGATGCAGCCGACTGCGTGATACCTGTTCACGGTAACAACATAAAATGGGCTACTTACAAAACTGTTTAAAATATATTCATTTTTGCATTGTTGCATTCTTTTTTAGGCTTTGACAAAATCAATATAACATATATAGTATATTAAATGAACAAAATACAGAAGGTTTTCACTAGCCTTCATGCCAATTTTCATCATTCTAGCTCCAAGACTGTGAAAGATATAGATTTTTGCGATTTGCCGTGCCCTCGCTTCAATATTGTCCAACAAATTTCGTACAAACAGGCGGACTGACAATACAGATATTGCACAAAACCTATATACCCTAAAAGCCGCTTTGTAAACAGAGTTGGTATAGGCATATCAATAAGCTTGACATAAGCTTAGCACACGCACTATCCATCTTGACGGCATAAATATGAAAATAAATCGAAAACGAAATCGAAATCGAAATGGAAATTCCTTAACTCAAGCGCGGTCCAAGCATCGCGCGGCTTTATTGATGTATTTGTGGACTTGTTTATTGCTTTAGCCACAAACACGCACACACACGCACACACACACGCTCACACACACAGATACGGACAACAAATATTTTGCTAGCCCTTTTGTGTGTTTATGTTGCCAATTTCTTGTCTTGCAGGCAAATTGTTGAATTCTAATTTTAACTTCAAAAACAATTTACAGCGGCAAGCGAAAAAAGCATAGCATACTTTTATGGGCGCACTGCGTTCACTGATTGAATTTGGCGGCTTGACAGGCACACAAACACAGGCCTACGCAATGGCCAACGGGGCGTATGCGTAATGCGTGCTGTAAAACAGCGCCTGGACAGGCAACCAGCTTGCCAGCTGCCAGTTGCCAGTTGTTTGCATAACTCGCCTGTCAAAACGCCAAACTCAACCACTAAGTCAATACACAGGCACAGTTGCTGTTGCCACTTGCCAAGGAGCGCGCAGCTAGTGCTGCGACTGGTTATTAGTGTTGCCAACATTTAACTAGCAGTTAAATATAACTAAACAAATATTATCAATCATTTGTATAGAGAAAAGTGTTTTTAGTTAGGTTATCAAATTAATCTAACATTATCTTATTTGCACAGTTGAAGACTAGGCCTCAATTTTCAAATTTATCGATTGCACATCGAGTGTATTATCGATAACTATTAAAACTTTATCGTTGCTTAAAAGACATGATAAAATGCCAAGGTGGTAAGTCGAATTTGAAGCTGACTAATCTAACATTTTAATCTAACATTTTCTTAGTTGCACAGTTGAAGTCTAGCCTATAATTTTCAAATTTATCGATTACACATTGAGTGCATTATCGATAACTAGTGAAAGTTTATCGTTGTTTAAAAAACATGATAAAATGCTAAGGTTTAAAACAAGCACATGAACCGAAACTTAATCTATATAAATTGGATAGAAAATAAAAAAAGTGCTGATCGATTTTTTGAAAACAAGATTCGGTGTAAAATGGATTTGTTCGACAAATTAATAAAGCTGCCACATCAAGTAGGAAAATTGCGAAAAACCGTGGCAACACTGTCGCCCACTCACCTGACCCGATGCTGGTACTGCTTGTAGCGATGCTTGTGCATGCGTCGATAATGCTTACGCTTCTGCCTGCGCCCCGTCACCCAACTGGCTGCCACAGTTGGCCGTTGTGCCCCATTATCGTTGCGGGCATGCGGCAGCTCGATGCTGTTCGGAATTTGTGCTGCGCTTGGCGTTGTTGGCGTCGTTATGGACACCGTCTGATGGCTCATTTGCTGTGGTGTGGGCGGTGGCAATTCTGGCATAAAGTGCGTAAGGTTCTCGCTGGTTCTATTGGCGTCCAGAAATTGAGGCGCCAATCTGATCGTTGCCGATGTGAGGCCCGTGTCAGTTGATTGGCTGCGGCGCAGTTGCAGCGTTGTGAAGACAATTTGCGTGCAGGATAGTGCCAAAATAAGCGCCAGCAACAGGGCCAGAATGTGCGTGGTATTACTTTGATTCATACGCAGAAAATAACGCTGATAAAGCATTTCCACCTGGCCAAAGCGAAGAAAAAATAAAATACTCGTAAGTAGGTAGAAAAAATTACGCAAATCTTGCGCGCTGACAAAAGCTGTTTCCAGGGATTTGCTAGCAGAGAAAATGAAAATGAAACGCCGTTGAGCTCCACAATTGAGCTGGCATTCAGTTCGGTACGCCAACGATTTCCATTTCAAAATTCCAGTTAAGAAAGCAAAAAATTAAATAAGTAGCTTACCTGCAGGTTCTTGAACTGATGCGTCGAGCACAGACGCAGAATGATGCGATTCAAGCGATACCAGAACGAGATGCTGGGACTAGCTGCCTGAGTGCCCGTGGTGCTTGGATTGTTGGCCTCCACATTGCTCCGGCCATCGGCTCCATCAGCTGCATGGATTGCGCAAAACAACAAAACAAAATGGCTAATAAGACTCGAGACTGCAACAGCTGGTAAAAATAAACCAGAACAAAACTGGCCCAACCTTTAAAAGAGCATAATATAAATCCAGATCGGTGCACGTAACACATATCTGTCATGGGAACGTTCGGTTAAAATATACATGTGCATTATATAAAGAAGCCTATTTGTTTTAACACCTTGAAACGAACCGAACATGTCATTTGCCATGATTTTTTATGAGTTAAATTATAGATAAAATCTTCATAGATAAAATCTGTTGAACATAATTATAATTATTTCGTTGTAGTAAAAACTTTTATACCTTTCAAAGTATCATGAATAAATTAGAGAACTTCTTACTTTTCACTATGGTCTTTAAACCAAAATTGGGAACTTTTTCCAAGTCTTTCATAAGTATCATTGAAATGTGAAAGGGACAACTAGGGACAGGGTAAAAATGGTTAAACTTTAGAGTTCATCAAGGGTCAACCAGCAGAATTTGTTAAATCTGACCTTGAAACTGTTCGAAACTGTATGGAAATGCGCATTTTAGCCGTCCCCTAGGAAGCATGGCCAGGAAATTTGAGCTCCATTTAACGATATTGCTGTTAAACTTTTATACTCTGTTCACTTTGTCGAAGAGTGTAGATACGCTAGTGATTACAGGAAGTAAAATACTTAAAGCTTGTTAATTTTAAATTAATTATCAATATATTAATCCCATTTCATGTTAGTCGGATGACTAATTATGCCAGACTCCCATTGTGTAAAAACTTTAAGCTTATTAATATCTTTAATAACCATTAAACATATTAATTTAATATCATGTTAATCGGAAATGCTGGTTATTATGCCAGATATGTGAAATTTGTCTAAAATTGTCAATTACAAAACCAGCATTAAATATTTTGCCAGAATATTTGCATAGCAAAGGCTTTTCCCGTTGACCGCCTGCTGTTTGGAGCGGCAATTGCTTTTCGCAATTCGATTACAAATTGAAATTTCAGTGAGGTTTTCAATTGCATTCACAGTTAATAATGCTTACAAGTTAACAGTTGAACGAGCTGCGTTTGGCATGCTTTAATATATGGAAATTACATTTGCAACTTGTGGCTGCAACACAATACTTTGATCCTGATTCCCATTCGCATTCGCTTATCGCCTTTTTGCCTTCGATTTGTTCACAATGCTGTTGCGTACGCAAAACTCGTTTTGCATGCAACACACAATGCCATAAAATGTTGTAAAATCGTTCAACTGACCCCCATAAAACCGCACACACTTACACACGCACAGACGCACACGCACAACAATAACAGGAATGCGTGTCGCCGGCATATACATCGGAAAATATGTTTTCTTATTTTTGTACACTCTCATGCATCAATAAATAAATGCCAAACGTGATTATGTAAATTTCTATAGAAATCTGTGTATACTATATCAAAAGCAGGAATCCATTCTCGCATTTGCCCTATTCAACGTGCCACTGTGGCAGCTACATAGAAAACAACTCAGAATTCTGCAGTCGGATGTAACCGACTGCCAAAGACTCTTTCACATTGTTATACAAGATTTAAGCAGGCTATGCGACAACTTTTATTAAAAGATTATGTACCAGGCCTGCTACGGATATATATAAAATAGCTGATCGAGCTGCTTCTGTAGTTTTCCCTAAAAATTTGATTACGCTATCCTTAAAACTGTGCAAGATATAAATCTTCACGATTTGACATCAACCTTGTGAGCAGTTATGCACGTGTATATATATTCCAAGATGCAGATCTTTAAACTTCGCAACAGCGATAACAAAACCAATATGCTCTTTCACATTGTTTACGAGTATCATCAAGAGAGAGAGAGAGAGTAAAATATATCAAAATGGCAGCCATGGCAACCAGCAAGCAGCTCATTGAAGGTGAAGGGGGAAAACTGAATATTGAGAGACTGAAGCTGAAATTGAGGCCAAGAAGCTGCCTCGTCAAATTCAATTCGACAATGACAATCATGTTGTGACATTTGAGCCAGCTCTTCGATCAGACAGACAGAACCAGCAGCAGCAGCAGCAGCAGCAGCAGCCGCAGCTGGAAGCTGGAAGCTAAACCTGAACCGAAACGCACGCACGCCCGCATGCGTTGGCATTTTGATTAGCCATGTCCATGTGCTGGCCGTCCTGGATTCCATTACATGCTTAGCCTAAAGTTGTTTTCTATCACATTTCTACTCACATTGCTGCAGCAGCTGCGCCTCGTCGCGCTGATAGATCATTGGGCTGTGGCAGGTGGAGCTCGAGTTGGTTGAATCAATTGACTCGTCAATGTTGCAGCGTGTGATGCCAGCCTGTAAAGATAGTGCCAAGGTGAGTTAACACACACACACACACAATAAATATTAAATAGCTGGATAAATAATTTATAAATATTAAGTATACGCCCACGCTGCATTGCACGCTGTTTATTCTTAACTCAAAACTCATGACTCTGCTCTGTCTTTTTGTGCTTTTGTATTCCACGCGGCATCTTTAAACAAATTGCCGCCCATTTGCATGCCAACCCCTCCAACTGCCAATCACCCACACCCACACACACACACACACACACTCCATCGCTTTTTGTGCTGTAAACTTTTTCAATTGACTCTCGCCAACTGGCAAACAGCGCGTGCAAATTCACATACAGTGAACACTCCACAAACGGATAGATATTTTAAACAAACATCGCAAATTGTGAACATCCGATTTTTCTTAACAGAAAGTTCTACGTACAGAAAGTTAACCAAAATTTCAAGCCTTGCTCTTAACATCTTCTTTAAAAAACGAGTACTGTGGACGTCTGTTCCTGAGAGCTTTCACTGTAGTAGCACACACACACACACACACACACACAGACACATCCTCAATATTGTAAAGTGGACCCTTGTGCATGCATACAATATTCCTGTATCTATGTAAGTATCTATCTCTATGTGTGTGTGGGTGTGCGTGTGTGCAGCACACGGAACGTTGCTTGTTAGCCAAAGCATAAGGTGTTAACTTTTTGTCAAGTGCACTTTTTAGAAAGGACAACAACAACAAGGTCTAACAATGCACAAACTTTTAGCTTGAATGATTTTACTCAATACAATACCCCACTGTACAGAGACCCTCTCGCACCGCTCCCCTCACAGCCCTCCACAAGCTTCAACTCCCCAGCTGAGCTATGAAATTGTATTTTAATTTGGCATCGAAGTCGTTTTGTTACCCGCTGCTTATGGCCAAATCGAATTAAATATTTAAATGGCATAGCGAGTCGACCCGAAGCCTGTCCATTAGCTGAGCAAATTAATTGATGCCAGGCCAGTTACCTTACCCATGCCCTTCCCTTTGCCCACTCCCAATCCCAAATCCAATGGCTGTGCTTACCGCAATCAGGCTGCTGCTCACCATCGCCTTGCCTCCCTTGGCGCTGGTATTGAAATGTTCGATCACCTCCCAATTGGATTTCTTTGGCGTCGACGGCTGTGTCAGTGGCTGCGGCTGGGCCAGTCCAGATGGCGAACCAGCTGCCGATGAGTGTCCAGGTACATGCAATTCCATGGAGGCTTGCGTGCTGCCGCCGCCGCTGCCCGCCTGCTTCAAGGAAGCGGAGCGGCTAAAGAATTTGCGGTGTTTGCCACTTGCGGCTACGCCCGCGCTCATGCTCTCCTGTAGGTGAAACATTTGTGTTTTGGATTGCGGTCCAGTCCAGATGCTTACCTCTTTGCTGGTAGCGAGGCTCGCGGCGCCCGCGCCGCCATGCCGCATGCCACGCAGCGACAGACGCTTGGACCATTCCCGTTTCTGGCTCTCCGATGACAGCGAGCGAAATATGTGCGAGGAGCTGCTGCCGCTGCCGGTGCCGGTGCCAGTGGTGATGCCAGAGCTGGTGACGGTGGCCGTGACGGTAGCGGTGGCTATATTGTGGGTGTTGCTGCCGCTGGCGCTCATTCTGGAAGTGTAAAAGGGCCGGGCAATCTTTTATAAGTATATGTGTTTAGCGTAGCTAAAGGCTGGGGAAATTGATTTTCATTTTACATGCTAAAAGAAGCGCGCTAATTTTCAAACAAATTGCCAATTTTTTTGGGGCTCGTGACAGCGACTGAAACGGCATTAAAACAATAAATTCGATTTTGGCCAAAAACGCTGTCAAAACAGCAATAACAACAACAACTACAACAAACACAACAACAATGCAAACAACAACACACGCCCACGTTAAAACGGTGCGGGCAAGTGCTTTAGTCTAAGTGAGACGACTAGCATATACCCTGTATACAGCGACGAGCTGTCGTTATACACAAGCTAAAGGCTTTCAGCCGTGCTTCTTTCTGCCTTAATCCCACACAATAGTTAATCCGTTCTTGCATAACTTTGGTAGTTATAGCCATATCGTTATGAAACTTTCTGGCTTTAAATGTGGCACCCAAATATGAGTATATACCAAAGCGCAAGGCTCCACAGTGACTTTTTTCGATTTTGGGAACAATGGAAGAAAAAAGTGAACAATTCTGAAAAGTTTAATGCATTTAGCTTCAAATTTTCGACTCATGCTTGAAAACTAAAACTTCTATCTCGATAATTAATTTTATTTTGACAAGTTCTAAGACTCTTTCTATCTCCAGACAGACATACGGACTTAGCTCAACAACTCTATCAAGCATATATGTGCACTCCATCCTGTTACATATATTTTCTCATAGCCAATATACCCTCTCTTACGTATTTTCAATGGGTTTCGGGGTATAGAAACCGGCTCTGCCAATAAATATATCGTATCGCATCGTAACGTAACGTAACGTATCTACTTTTGGGACGGCCCACTTAAGTCTCACGAAATGCTCGCCAAACACGCAAGGCCAGAGCCAGAAGATATAGGTTGGAAGCGAAGCAGGAGGTTGGAGTTGGTTGACTGCGAGTCAGGCTAAAGGCAAACTCGACAGGTAACGCTCTTCAGTTTTTCAGCTAGGGCTTTAAGGTAACAACAGCAGCAAATGGCTTTTTAAAATTTGGAGAGTTGATTTGGGATCTAAGCGTTTAAACAGTTAAGTGAAATTTTGTATAACCTATCAAAAGGCTCCAGCTATTATAAGCCCGAGTTGTTAGCCTTAAATAATGTTGAAAATAAAGCTAAATTTAAAAGCAGAGCTTATGCAAATTAAATAGTAGCAATTGCCATTATATTTAAATGGAATGCACTTAAAAAAAAAACTACCAAAATTGGTCTTAAGCTGGAAATTTTCATTCTGTGCTAAATGAAACATAAAAAAGAAAATTATCTTGGCCAAGTTTCGAGTCGTGAACCGCAATTTGAACTCATCTTGGGTCGAGTTGGAGGTTAAACAAATCTGTTCATAATTTTCTTAAAAGGACAAAAATGGCTTTGGATTTAAAGAACAGAAAGTTTCTATAATCAAGTCTAATTTTGCTTGGGCGCATATCTAAATAAACTCCCACTACAGATTGGGATTGATTTGGATTGTTTTTCTGCCTGTATCTAGATACTTTAGAGAACGATTAATTCAGATAAATTGAGATTTTCCGTCCTGCTTAGCATATGCACAGCCCATGCACATTTATTAAGTTTAATCCCCGACTTCAGGACAGACAACTGTTGCCTGAGCCTAAGCTGCAATACGCTTCGTTTTTATAGGCGCGCAAGTCTGAGCACTTTTCCGTAATGACTTTGTTGAAGCGCATAACAGTAAACTGTGCCACAGACAACAACAATAACAACAATACAAACAAACAATGCAAAGGCGAAGGCGCAAAAGTTTTTTAGGTTCCTGGCCGCATTACTGGGGCCACAAGTCTTAAAGCCCGAACAGTACAGCCAGGGCGTTGCTTCCTTTTTGTTTTTAGCTACTGTATATTTATAACTAGTGTATAAGAGGTATTACGATTTTGTCAAGTGATGTGTAACGCATAGAAGATAGACGTCCCTGATCCCATAAACTGGATATGTGTATATATTCTCCGTCAGCATCAACAGTCGAGCCGATATAACCATGTCCGGATTTTTGTTGAAGGGTTCAAACATGCCTCGGCACATCGGATCAGATAGATGCCATAAAAACTTGTGTTCTTTTTTTCTTCAATTAATTATTAAGCTATCTTGTGAAGAGTTTTGATTAGCTCGTATTACTATGCTCAAATATGATCGAAGTCTTAGCCAGATCTGAAAAACTGTAACGTACAGCATTTGTCGTTTTTCTGTATATTTTTCTAAATTTTAATTTAAATGCATGTTCACAAGAGTATTTAATCTTCGACTTACACAAGTTTTTTCTGGATTTTTGTTTTTTTTTTTAGTGCCAGAGGCGTCTGGTGAGGGGGCGTGTAAGTACAAGTGCCGGCCGCCGGCATAAATATGTCAAAAACAATGCGCTATAAACAAATGGTTTTGTTGCCAAAAAAAAAAAAACAAAAAACCAAAAGAAACACGTGAAAATTGAATGAGAAAATCGAAAATCGAAAAGTGGCGAAAATAAGAAGAAGAAGGAGCAAAACGTCATGTAGAGCAGGCCAGCCGAGTAGCAGCTGCTATTATATTACAATACTCAAGGGTTGTGGGCTGAGGGGGCAGGGTGGGTGTAGTCTTTGAGTGCGCCTTCGACAAACCACTCGAGTTTTCGTGGAAATTGAAGATTAGTCACACTGTGCGAACCGCTTTGCACCACTTTTGCTGCTCGGCCAATTGGAATGCCATTCAAAGTGTTTTCAATTCGTTCAGACGGCGCAAAATTTTACCACCCACCGCGCAGAACCACAGCCACGCCGCAAAATGTATTTATCTAATTTAAATTGAAAAAAGCCTCAAAAATGCGCTTAATTTAAACTACAAGACATAAATGAAAAGAAAATACACTTAACAAAAATTTCATATTTCATGTCGAAACGCGCTGCCGTCCAAGGTCAAAGTTCATAAATACACAATTGCCCATACAAATGAGAATTGCCTATTATACCAAAACAATTAAACAAAAACAAGGAAAACTTTCAATTAAAATATGCCAAAAGCTGACTAAAACGAATTAAAATGTTCCAATCGGATGAAATCGACTGCACAATACACTGTTTAAAGTGTATTTACCAAATAAGTAAGTCGAGTTAATAAGTGAAGAGGTCCACATACATGTCTGTGCTTGTCAAGTTGAAATCAATATACCCGTTTTCAAATGGTGAACAGTATATTAACATGAAAATCAAGAAGCACTCGAAATAAATACTTAATTTCATCATATGAAATATGCAAATCTCGACTATTCAGCAGCACATGAAGTTCTCTCTGTCACCTTTGAGCCAAGTTTTTCGTATGAGCTAGTTTGGTGGGCGCTCGGAAATTGCCTGAGCTGGAGCTAAAAGGCCAAAATGCATGCACGACTGCCTGTGAAACTTAGACAAGAGAGTGAGACACAGGGAAAAAGAGTGTGAGAGAGACAGAGAGAGGGAGAGTATGCAGGCTGCGTACACAAACTTTTCAATTCTCATGCTAAGACAACTTTTATGGGATGTAGTTGGCAGTTGGCAGTTGGCAGTTGCCTGTTGCTGTGAGCCTTCGTTGTCATTCGTCGGCATTAAACATTGAGCTGCAGACTTCAGGAACAAAACTCAGTGAGCTTTTTAACATAATCGCCTCATAAGCCTCCAAGAGGCGGCAACAATCACGAAATCAAGCAGCTGATTTAATTAGCCCAGCAACGGCCAGAGATAACAATCGAGGCCCTATTTGAGTGTGATTGAACTAGCAGACACCCTGTAAAAAGTTCTTCAATATTACAGAGCTTTTTTATACTAAAAACAAATATACAAGCTATAAGGTTTTCGCTCTTTTGAGATATAGATAATATTATCAGATATAGAAAATATTAATTTATTAATTTATTTCTCTCCGATATACTTGGTCTTGAATGCGTCTAAAGAATGTTTACACTTTATAATCAAAAGAGCCTTGCCCATCTAACACCTTCCACTTAGCTAAAAGGATTTCTTTAATTTACAGGGTATAGACTTTAAAACGTGTTAAAGGCTTAGGCCTGGCAGCTTGTGGGGCGGTTCAGTTGTTTGGACTCCACCCACACAGCTTGTTAATCAATGTCATGCGCGCACCGCACCCCACAAAATTCAGAAGCAGGTATTGAAGTACGCTATGGGAAAACATTCTATGCCATTACAGTTCAATGGCAATTCATTAGATTAATGGCGCTAATGGCCTGGTAAATATTGTGGCTGTAATAACATCTACAAAAGCAGAAAACAAAACTTCGACAAGACGCGAGCGCGCGCGCAAAAAAAAAAGGAATAAAATTAATAAAATAGCAAAACAAATTTGATAAGCGGCAGAAATTAATGAGGCCAGAAGCAAGCAGCGGGCAGCAGCAGCGAGCAGCAGTTGTGTTGTTTGTAAGCAGCCCCTATTTACAAGCCCTACAGCACCCACGCCCACTCCCACTACTCCTACCACTCACATATAGATCTCATGCATATTCATTCATTAACTGGGCAAAAGCAGCTGCTGGCATTTTGCAGACGCTCTCTACACAAGCCGAATGCCACGCCCACGCGCATACCCAGTGCCAACCCTTCCACACAATCTATATATACGTCTGCCTCTCCCTATATATATATATATAGTATATATATAGTATAGGAAGTCAGCACAAGTTTCTATATTTGTAACAGTTGTTGCTCTCATGTTTATGCTGCCATGTGTTGGCCTTGTTTACGCGCCGTCATCTTTGTGTTTGGTTTCTGGTATTTGGTATTTGGTTTTTCCTATTTGTTTGCATTCCATTGACGCAAAGGTGTTGCTCGGTCGCGGGCACAAAATTTGCAATGGAAATTAATTCATATGCTGTGCGTGAAAAATGCTGCAAGAGCCCTTGGCAGTGAACGTGCCCCCACCAAACACACAAAGACACACGCTCACACACACACACACACAGGCAGCC